CTTTCTAGTAACTGTGAATACTGGAAAGTCTCAGGCAGAAGACCAAGATTTGACATTAGGTGCTTATTTTTTCCTCTATGAGAAATGATTGTTAAAAACATTACTTTTTTTTTTTTGTCTGTTGGACTCTGAGGAAATACACTACTCACAATGTCTAATTTGAAAGTTTGGTGCTACCACAGTCTTTATTGTAAAACATGTGGCTGGTAATTGAGAAGCTGGGAAAAATCAGGTGGATTAAAGGAAATAAATTAAGAGTTGAGTAATATAAATCTTGAGAGCTCATTGCACCTGGAATCATTTTCATGGTAGTATGTACAATTGGGCTTTTTCCTCTTTATGCTGGCTGCAGGATGAAAATTGCTATTTTGAGTCTAATACTATACAAATCTTTCATTGGTGACTAAAAACTTCTTTTCTTGTTGAGATTTCAAGAAGTACCAGCACATGTTTTGGTAGTCATTGCCAAAATTTTCTACTATACATCTTTGATTGCAGAGGGGTATTCTTTCCTTTAGCTTATGCTTTATATGGAGAACTGACATGTACTGCATTTGGTAGAGGCAATCTAGAAGTGGTATGAGAAGCTTTAGGGCATTTGAAAAGAAATGGTTTTAAGAATGCTTAGCATTCTTAATTTATTTGTATAACAATATAAAAAGAGTTTGTGTTCAGGAATAAAATAAAAATAATAATATTACTATTTTTGAGCTCCTACTTTATCACTCAATTTTTGCAAATATGTACATTATCCAATAATATGAACATTTATTGAACATTTAATTTGTATCAAAGTGGCTGAATCCCTTTATATATATATATTCACTTACTGAATCTTCATAGGATTATGAAAGCCCTTTTTTATTCTCATTTTATAGATGAGAAATCTGATGTTGAACTCTTAACCTTTGTAGTGCATTGCAGCCTTGTACTGCTTTTTCACTCAGTACTTGCAATATCCTACAATGCTAGCCATAATTATCCCCTTTTTACAAATGAGTAGACTGGAGCTTAGAGGTTCAGTAACCTGCTTAAAGTCAAGCAGCTGGGAAATAGTAGAGCCAGATTTCAAGCCAGGACTAAATGATTCCAAAGCTCCTGTTTATCCATTTCAATAGGCAGAAGGCTAAGTCACCACCTTTAGAGAGCATATCCTACAAGCTTGGAGCTGGGAAGAGTCTGAGGCTATGACCGTAAAGCCATGTGGCAAGAGCATTGCACCTTCCTTGAACTATATCCTGTACAGATGGTTCAAATTGTCCTCCTTGCCCATGCTGCAAGGTCAGTGCTCAGAGTGAATTGAGAATCTCAGAATGGTTTGCTTCCCAGAGTAGACATGCTCTTCAGGACAGGCTCTTTAATGGAATCCCACTGGGACTTCCACATAGCACACATATTTGTAATGCCTTCTCCTGCCTCAGGCTACATGGGTGCTTTGTAGTTAGAACCTAGTTCATTTTAGAATCCCATCTGGTCTTTGGTGGATCACATTGGAGAAAGTGAACTATAGATTAACCCTCAAGCCAGAAAATATTTTCATGGTTCTTATTTCCATAAGGTCACAAAAGTGTATGAGAACAGAATCCTTTGCAGGGAAGTAAAACTCTATAATGTCAGAAATATTCTTTTCTCTAGTTCTAGCTATATCCCTTCAGATTTAGCTATATATTAGAAGCAACAAGTAAGGGCCAGTGAAAAAAACAGCCTGCTGTTCTTTTGGAAGTAGGTAAAAGAGAAAACACACATTCCAAACCCTTGATGTTCTAGTCTTTAGAAATAAATGTATCTATCACTTACATAGATATAATATTTTTATATTCTGAAACTTTCTATCAACTTGGGGGTTTACAATTATTAAATACAATAAGATACACCTGATATTCATATTGTTTTGTGAAGCAATTTACATTTTGCCAAAATGGATCCCACAAGTTAGCATTACTTTCCAAATTCATGAGCACCATAGGGTTTGTTGTCCCTGATTGTTTTTCTTAGGAAGAAGTATCTGTTATGGAGTGCCCAGCCTTTCCTCTCTTACAGGTATAGATTAATGTAACTTTATCTACAATTGGAATCTAGCAAATGCTCATAAGTTAGGTGATATGCATCTGTTCTGTAGTGTCAGAGAGTTATGAACCTGCCATGGACAACTGAAATTTCTTAAGGCAGAAGTACTTGACCTTGGGTCTGCAACACATAAACAAACTACTGGATTCTTCTAACTCTAGAAATAAGACTCTCTTCTCTCTACTTCCCAGGATTTGCTGTTGTTTGCTATGGACTGCAGGCACCCATTTGTTTAGTAAAATTTCCAAAGTATTTTACAAGTCTTCTTTGCAAACTTGCTTTTCTTATGTGGTCATACTAATCTCCTGTCTGTTATCTTGCCAGTTAACAGGTGACTTGAGAGGTATTTCCTTAAATGCCTGGAACTAAAAATAAAACAAAATAAATTTTGTAGAATTTGCAATCTTTGCAGATTGCTTTTGAGTTGGAGCATTTCAGTGCTGAGCAAATCACTCAGGACTGTGTGTTAACACTTAGCCTCCTTTTTATGTGGAGCCCCAAAATCTTCCAGGAATGCAAGCAGTGAATGATCCTTGGTCTTTCTGAGGACTTATTCAGAGCTGGCCAGGCATAGGTTCTCTGGATTCTCTGATGTACCCAGGAATCCATCACAGTCCCTACTACCTCATGTATTTTTCTATTTGGCCTCCTCATTCCTAGGCATTTGATCTGTCTGCAGCTTGCTTCTATGGTTCCTTTGCCTAAGAGGCTGTCAGCAGTATTATTCCTTTAAATGTTTTTGACAAAAGCTTGCCTAAGAGGGCTCTATCTCCAAGAGAATTCAAAGTATTGTAAACAAAGGCAAGCCTTGGGGAAAGCCAATTTCTCCAGGCTGTAAGATCAAAGTGTACAAACATGATTAATTGATAATATCCATATCACTGCCTCTGGCAACCAGTAAGCTTTGCTACAGGAATATGAGCCACCATAACTGTTATTACCAAGTTGCAGAATGTGAAAGAATAAATGAGTAAGTAAAAATGCCATAAAATTTCTTGCCAAAATTTAACAGCTTCTTCATTAAATCTTCCCCTTGATATAAGTTTTTAAAATTAGATTCCGAAGTTATAAAATAGTTGATTCTGACCATTTTTGCATGCTTACTGCTTACTTCAGTGGAAGAACAGATTCTTGGCTCTTCCTACTTGACCGTTTTGGTTGACATCTGTCTTTCCAATTCTTTGTGAATCTAGATGCTGTGATTTCATTAAACACATTGGGGTTCATGGAAAGATCTGTGAGGTCCATTGAAAGATTTCATGAATCATCTTATGTCCACTGTCCCCATACCATTTTGGGTGATGTCTATCTTCCTGATTCTCTAAACCTAGATTTTTATGATTGCATGAATCTCTTTGAAATCCCCTAGAGAAAGCCCTTAGTTTTAGGCCTATTTCCTATGTTTTCATCCTGTTTTAATTGTGCATACTTTTTTCATGTTATTTTTTATATTCCTATATATAAATATACCATCATTTAGCCAATCATTTTCTTAGCTGATCATAGTTATTTCCAAATTTCTGCTATTATAAATGAAACTATGATATGAATTATTGCATACAACTCTGTGTCTGGTTTTTGAGAATTGTTAGAAGTAAAATTATCAGTGTCAGCTTGTAAAAAATTCTCTAAAAATTTTGACCATATTAAAGCCTTACTGTTAGTATTAACATTTTTAAACCTTTGCTCATACAGTGTTATAAATAAATAAATTTAAATTAAAAGCAAGAAAACCTGAATGCAAACTTGTATTTGTTAATTGTGCGAGAACCGAACTATTCTTCAGAGTCTGTGACTCCTGAAGAAGAGATGACTGAGACATACATAGAAGTTTCATTAATCTTATCTTCTCAGCCAGAATTATTTCTACCTACTAGATAGAAAACAATATGGTAATAAAATAAATGTATGTACAAGCTTCCCTTTTCAAAAAAAGTTTACTTCATCAATAATGCTATTCTGCATGCAGAGGGTATCTTATATCAAGGAGAAGTTGTTGAAATCTTTTTGATATGCAACGTTTAACATCACAAAGTTTTGACAATAATGAATAACATGAGAATGCATACAATCTTTTACCTGTTAGGCAGAAATGAAGCATAGCAATGATATTTTCTGAGGAAAATTATTTTAAATGCTTCACACATCATTAATAAAAAGTTACTGCTGTGGCTTGGGTATAGTTTATTTCCCAAGGGTTTATATGTTAGAAGTTTGTTTCCTAGTGTGATGGTAAGAAGTGGTGAGACTCTAAAAGGTGGGGCCTAGTGGGAAGTAATTAGTTCATTGAGGTCCTGTCTTCAGAAGAGATTAATGTAGTTTTTATGGGACTCTGGTTAGTTCTTGAGAGAAGGTTGTTATAAAAGAGCAACACAGACCCTTCCTCAGTCATTGGCTTCCTGTCTCACCATCTGCTCTCTTGCATGTGTTCCCACCATGACACCATTTATCATGAGGCCTTCACCAGAGCCAATGCCATGCCATACTGTTTGAACTTTTAGCCTCTCAAACTGTGAGCTAAATAAACCTCTCTCCTTTGTAAGTCATTGTTCTCAAATATTATAGTATAGCAGTGGAAAATGGGTTGATACATTTCCTGAAAAAAACAACAAAAAACAAATAAATTCTATAAGGTATTATCTACTTGAGGCAAAAAATACTGATTGTGCTCATAAGGATACAGATGAAAATACACCAAATAGAATTAAACAGTGTAAAAATTCTGCCTTCCTGAAAAAAAAATCATACCCAAACCCCTCAAATATAATTCAGATAGTCTGTAATTTGTGCATGTGTAAATGAAGATCCACCTGAATCCCATTAGCCAAGAGTTCTCTTTTTCTCTTTGTGGCATTTGGCATTTCTTCCTTTTGTGCCCATCTTTTCCTCCTGCTTGCACTATTCTCCTGATACTCCAATTTTTATCTCCCTAGGATGAGCATCCAATGGTCTCCGGGACTGATATACATTGATTGTGAGAAAAGGAGAAGAGATTAAAGTAAGACATTTTTGTTTCACTCTGTGTGCCATCTCTTCTCCAACTATGGTAGCTTCTGAAGATGCAGTACATGGGGTTATCAGTCACATTCCCAGCCTCGAGTTCCTTTATCACTTTCTCAGACTTTTTTTTGACTCTTCTACAGGGTCCCACTATCATAAAATGCTCATAATGATGCAGGTTTTTTTTTCATTTCCTAAACAGACAAGTAGTTTATCAGAATGTTAAATCCTGCCCCAATGCCTTCCCCAAATACTTTGCACATGTTTCTTTTGCTTCTCTATCTATCTGCTTGGCTCCTTATTTCACTTGTTTTAGGTCAGATAATCAGAGCATATCACTTGGTCTTCCCCCTCCACACTCTAACTCCTCCTTAATGTAATTTGTTTTTCTTCACAGTACTTGGATCCTATTACAAGATTCTATTTATTTTTATTATTTGTTTCTTCCCATCATCACAGTGAAGGCTCAGTTTTCTGTATTGCTTAATGCCTACTACACTCCCTGACATGTAGTAGACAATCAATAATTCAATGTTTTGGATAAATAACACCTAACAGTGCTTTGCAGTTTATACTTTCATATTTACTTAGTCCTCCGAAATCTTAATTTGCTCTCTATTTATTGTGATCACCTAATTTTTTAAAAGCAAAAACAATGGAACAAAATTTTAAGCTCCTGTATTGCAGTTTGGAGAAGTAGGCAATAAGGAAGAGAAGGATCACTGCCTGGCATAGGTATTGGATTGAAAGAAATCTCTGGTAGGATTTCTGCATCCCAGGAGCTAGTTTCCAACACTAGGGAAAAACATTCAGTGTTAAAATAAGTATAGTAATTTTATTACAGAAAAATCACTAATCCTATTCAAAAAATCATTAATCTCATTCACACAGCTGATATATAAGAGCAGTGAGTCCAAATTGTTAATTTGTAATGAGACTAAACTATCTTATAGAACAGCCACTTCTGGTCACTAATAATTACATTCTTTTCCATCTTTATGGGAAGCAAAATTATAACTAGACAGTTTCTTGGTGAGTATGAAAAAAAAAGTAATAATTCCAATGACTGTGTCATCAACAGCTATAGTATCTAATAATAATTATAATGTCTTTCAGTATTGAGCTCTTACTACATGCCAGGCATTGTGCTAATTTACATGGGTTTATGCTAATACATGATAAAACTATTTTACAGATGAAGCTATGAAGGTCAGAGAGAGTTTAATGAGTTGTTAAGGTAGTTATATAAGATCATACAACTAACAAGTGATAGAGCCAGAATTTAACCAGAGGTCATTTTAAAATCTAAGACTCATGTGTTTCACACTGCCTTACCCAAGGATGATGGCTCCTACGCTAGAGGGCGTGTTTGTAGGAAGGAGCTGCTCTGCTGAACAGTGCTATCATTGTTCTGTTAACAGTGATCCATAGCGATTCTCTTTCCTTTGCCTCCATTGAAGATCAGTACCTCACTTTAACAGAAACATCATCTCTTGGCTATATATTAATGACGGCGATTAAGATAGATTAGGATGCAGTAAAGTCTGTGTCTGAAAGCTATTCCATCTTTTGGAGTTAGGCATCTGAATTCTGATAGAATATAATTTTTTCTTCATTCACAACTTTTCCAGTTATGCCTCCTCCTGTATTCTCAATCTTTAGAATGCTTCAGAAAATCTCAACACTAGCTGCATAATAGGAAGACATTGGGATTTTTAAAAAAATACTGTTATGAGGCCTAGTGATGGATAAATCAGACCCTATTTTAAACAAACACTTCACTAGGTGATTTAAATATAAAAACCAGCTTACCCTAATATACTGTATATCATGTCTTTCAGTATCCACACATAATGGCAATATTCTCTGGACTTTTTAGTTCACTTATTTGATAGTAATGATTTGCTCACATTATGCAGCTAAATTGGCTTTATTTGTGAAGTCAAATTTCCTCACATTTAACATATCATTAAAACTTTTAATAGTTGTTTCTATGCCTTTGTTCAGCCAATTATTGAAAATTATTAGGTCTTTGAAAGAACAGAACAAATTTAGCCTATTTTCACAGAACACCAATATTTCCCAAATACTTAGGAGAATATTATTTTTATTAAATAAATTCAGTTATAGATTGCCATTCAAAATTTTATGAATTTTAAAGATTAATTTCTAAGACGAGATAAATTTCTTGTGTTCACTTCAGTTATACTACTCTGATTTTCTCATTGTGACTCAGGAGAAACTGCATGGAAAGACAAAAGTAGAGGAAAGTAAGAGACAACAAAAAATTAAGATTATTTTGTATAGACAGTTTAGTAATACGGCAAAGACAAGAGCCTTGGACTTTTATTATAAAAAGGAAAATGGGAAATGAATTAATAAAAAATTGGGGGTCTGAAGTCAGTATTCCTTTAGCAGGTACATCATTCAAAACCTTTATATACCGGGACTGCCCCAGCATCTTGAGATATAAAGATGAATTGAATCGAAGAAGCTTGCAGACCAGTGGTAGGGGAACTTACACAGATGTAATTACTGTGCAGTGCAGTCAATGATGGGGGAGAAGGGTTCACAATGTACACATGGAGTCTAGCACCAACTGTAGTAACTTTAACATTTAAGTGGGGATTACAAATTGGCAGAGAGGATAGTATATATTGGGATAGTTCTTTAGGAATTGTAAGTATTTTCATATAAATTCTTTGTTCGATGGTCCCCATGCACTTTGAGTTAGAACTGATTATCTCCAATAAGTGAAGAAAAGTAAGAGATTTGCCCAATATCATTTTAACTAGATCCATGCTCTGGTCATCTATTTTCAAATCCATTACATTTTCCATGGCACAATCTTCCATTCATGCATTTAAGTATCATGCAACTGGTGATAATTATAAATGGGAGAATCTTAGTGCCATTTTATTTTCCCTCAAAATGATTAAATATTTAATTATTTGGACAGGAACAAAATCTTTCAGTGTTCTGAAACACTTTCTATAATACACAATTCTTATATCAAAATGAAAAAAATTGTGGCTCGACTAATAGATTTTGTCAGTATTGAAGACTGATGAATAAAAGCTCTGCTAATCAATATCTAATTTGTCTGAGGAATAAAATTTGTCTTTCTTTTGAAATATTTAAAGAATCTTATGCATAGTTAAAGGATAAAATCTGAACCATTGGTTTCCCTTAAAAATATATTTTCCAACTTGTACTCTCTGTGTTATTATAACAAATAAAAACATTATTAAAAGCCCTGGGTAAGCTTTTTCCTTGAGATAAGCACTGTGCTACCACAACATATGACATCATATTTGGCTCTAATGTTTGGAAATGACAAAGTATAAAAGATGACAAGTTCTAGTAGCCATGTCATAACAAGGGATGAAGTTTAAAATAAGACAGACAAAATAAAGTTTGAGGAAACTATTTTTTAAATTGTACATTTATCATGACAGTTTTGGGGTTAATCTCTGGAACCAGCACAAGGATGAATGAGGTAATATTTGCACATGTTGTGGATAAGATAACAGTGTGGGGGGGTTTCTAGGCTAATGTTCAACTAAGATTATGTGCGTGATGGCTGGAAACTGTTGTGCGGTTAGGATAATACAGGGTTTAGAAAAACTGCTGCTGGTGGAGTGGTGAGGATTCCTGTTGGATCTGAAGCTCTCTGAATGGGGGCATGGAAAGGAGAGGCAGAGAAAGGAGCAATAACTTTCCAAGAGAAAGATTTGGGGAGCTAGAAATGGGAGGTAATCTACCAAACTCCCTTGTAGAATGAAATGGTAAGAGTTGGTAATTAAAACTTCACTGAAAAGTAAAATCTGATGATAAAAAATTAGCTTAATGCTGCTCATGTGTACATTACAATATGGGGGAGAGATTGTAATTCTGATTTCCATCCCTTACTACCCAGATGTTATTACCATTAGAGTCATGTTCGGAGGATTCATTTGGACCTACTTTGTTTTATTCAGTGGCTTTGAGTAAGGGAAAAGAAAGTGGGTTGTGCTGGATGTGTTGACTGAAATGCACCATTAATTTCATGTCTCCATTGTAAAAAGCACTTTTAAAGTGTGCCAAGGCATTTTAAGTGTTTCAACAACATGCTTTTCTGACAATAGAGAATCAAGGGTACATTTTCATGGTATCAGTAAAAATATCATAGTAATTTACAGGGTTCAACTGAACCTTAAATTGAATCACAATGAGGGTCTTTCAGAGCTAATAGCAATTTTAAATCTGTTCCTGGGCCACTGAGATCAGAATAAACATGAACTCTGATTGTCTCTATGATCTGAAGTCTCAGTTGCCAGGGGTTTGAGTTTTATGGAGAATCTCCATTTTTGGAACTCTCTTCTCCATACACAACTGATCCCAGATTTACAAGCTCTGAGATTTTAGAAGGAAAGGAAAAGGCATAGTTGTTTCTTTTTTAACTGGTGTAGGATTCCAGCTGGTATTAGAAGCTATTACTGGCTGAGAAGAAACATTTGTTTTTGTCTCAGTCTTGTACTTGGGTATTCAGACTTGGCAAATGGCTCACTTCGAATATCTAAACAAATAAAGTATTTTCAGGATCTGCTGATATTCAATATCCCATTCTTCTCAAAATTTGCCAGATGCAAACAACAAGAGCCAATTATTCTAGTTTCTGTTAAGTTCCGAATCTCTTTACGGAATTATATTGGTAAAAATCCCATACTTGATTTTTCGTATTAATGTGTCTGTGGACATGTGATTCCACGGTTGTTTCCTGATGAGGTAATTGCACATGGCAACAAGACGGGGTTTTTTTTATTTAATCCCCTCCGTGTCATGTCCTGGGGCACTTTCACATTAACGTTACATTAAATTTCTACTGTAGGTACTCCAGGACGCAATATGTTTGAAACCAATTTTCTGACCTAAATTATCTTTAATATTATGGAGACAGTGATGAGTACATATCTCATATTTCAAGTCCTTGCTGTAAGAGAAATAATAAAGGAGCCA